CCAGAAGTGGCACTGTGGCTCAAGTGGTAGAGCACTTGCCTTGAGCTGAAGAGGTGAGGGACAGCACCCAGGCCCAGAATTCAGGCCCCATGACAGGCAAAAAAAAAAAAAAGATGTAAGTGTCAGTTCTTTTGCATGTAAGTATTTGGATCTGTAGCCTCCAAAACAACAATCAGGGTGTCATTTAGTATCACAGAAAATGGGAATTCAATGATCAGGAAAAGAGGCTTTTGTCAAATATGCCATCTGACAATGATTTGTAGTACAAATCTCTTTGGTCTTGTCAACTATCCTCTTGGCTTACTCTGGTATCTAGTGATAACTTCTTTTTCCAAATACTACTTGTGGTTGCTTCCCTAGGTTCCCAAGAGTAAGACCTTGGAGGCTACCAAGTTAGCTATAGATGCTGGCTTCCGCCATATTGACACTGCTTATGCATACCAAGTGGAAGAGGAGGTAGGACAGGCCATTCGAAACAAGATTGAAGAGGGCACTGTGAAGAGAGAAGACATATTCCTCACCTCAAAGGTATTGTGTCTACAGTGTGTAAGTGTGCAAATGAATGATGTGATGTAAACAAGAGAAAATTATGTATGAAATTGTAATATCAGTTGGCAAAATGTGCTTATGGGTGCGCCTTTTATTCTCACTTATTTCCCATAGAGGATATATTATGTAAGTCACCTGTAATCCTAGCCACTCAGGAGGCTTAGATCTGAGGATCATGGTTCAAAGCCAGCTTGGGCAGGAAACATGGGGAGACTCTTGTCTCAATTAACCTCCAAAGAACCAGAAGTGAAGCTGTGCAAAGAAGCTTGAGCAAAGGAGCTCAGAGACAGTGCTCAGATCCTACATTCAAACCCAGGACTGATACACTCACACATACACACACATACGCACACACACACACACAAAACAGTTTACCAAGATAATGACTATTTAGTGACTGTATACAAGTTTATAACATTAAAATGCCTTTATGTCTATGTCCTTAACTCAAAGCATCATTTTTTAGAATGGGCTCACAGGTGATATAGACTATGCCAAAATTATGACTTCCCTTCTCCCCTTGCTTATTTTCTACATTTTTTTCACATTTAGAAGATCAGGTTTTAACACTCATAAATATCAGAGAATTGATATTATCTGGATCGTAAATGATTTTCAGTTAAAATGTACTGATTTGTGTAACATGTTGAAATGTTCAATATGTGTCCCTCGAGCTATGAAAATATAAAGATGTTAGTTGTTCATGTATTAATGAATGAGAGACGTAGAGCAGTAATAAATTTATAATATGCATGAAAAGTAATTCACAGAATTGAAATCATTATTACTTGATTAAAAATTATACTTTTTAAAATATATTTCCAATTTCTATAACTTGATGAACAATAACCCAATATGATGGGACTCACTTTCACAGGGCAAATAGAAGGAAATCAAAATATGAAGGGTGTGTATTCCAACATCTGTTTCTTTCCAGTACAGACATGCCAATTTATAAGATATAAATGTCCTCTTTGGATCATTTATTAATCAAACACAATTTTTATTCTTCAATGTCCGTAGCTTTGGTGTACTTTCTTTCGTCCAGATCTGGTCCAATCTAGCTTGGAAAGATCACTGGCAAACCTCAAACTGGACTATGTTGACCTCTATCTCATGCATTATCCAGTGCCTATGAAGGTAGGCAATGTATGATAAACTTGGTGGGTATGAGTATAATTTCCACAAATGGTTGAGTTAAGCTTCTGTCAGGAACTGAAATAAAGTTTATTTGTATGTTTTTCCAATATGCAAATAAATTAGACAAACATTAATGGATTAAGAGATAGAAACTTCAAGTGTGGCCTATATTTAGAGATTACAGATAACAGCTAGAAATGACTGGGCTTATACAACATTTTCCCCTACCATTACTAGAGGTTTCTTTATTGTTTCTCAGCTTTGTCTATTGGTGGTAAATGTGGCTTTGAAACAGTTTAAGTTTCATGGTCATTAGCTATCAGTAGCTTCTCCACAACTCCCATGGTCAAGGGCCGACTTGCATGCAGCCTACTTTAGCCAACTTTGGTTCTGGTAGGTAAAGAATCTTCATAGTTAAGGCAGGTTCAAGATGGATATCCATTGTTGTTGATGGTCCTTTCCAGAGAATCTTGCACATTTTACTTCAGAAGAAATTGTAGTAATAAGCAGAGTTACCTATGTAAAGTAGGAGATTTCAGAAGGTCGAGTGGAAGGATTATTTAATAATACTATATACAGGGGCTGTGAAGGTGGCTCAGTGGTGGAGCACTTGCCTTGCATGCCTGAAGCCCTGGGTTCGATTCCTCAGCACCACAGAAGCAAAAAGAAAAAGCTGGAAGTGGCACTGTGGCTCAAGTGGTAGAGCACTAGCCTTGAGCTGAAGAGCTGAGGGACAGTGCCCAGGCCCAGGATTCAGGCGTCAGGACTGGACCCCACCCCCCCCGAAAAAATAATAATACTCTATATATATTCAGCATTAGAGAATAGAGTAACCATTTACCCAAAAATATTTCTAAGAACTTAGTAGACAAGCCACTTGGTAGAGCTCAGTATGGGGAGTGAGTGAGGCTCTGCTAGCTTTCTTGTATGTTTAGTGACTCATTCCCTCTCATACATGGAGAAGTATTGCATGAGTAACAAATATGTGATTAATGAGGCTGGTGTAATTACTTCTTTTTTAAAAATAAGTTTTTTATTGAGAAAATACTGTACAGAGGGGTTACAGTTACATGATCAAGGTAATGAGAAAATTTCTTATCCAACATTGTTGCCTGCTTCTTTTCCAGCAAGGGGATGACCTTTTTCCAACTGATGAACATGGGAAGTCAATATTGGACACAGTGGATTTCTGTGCCACGTGGGAGGTGAGTGAGTATTTGAAAGAAAGGCAACAGAGGAAGCTAGAAGAGGAGAGCTGGGAGGTATGTCTAGGTCAGAGAATGGGGTACATTACGTTGGCTGTGGACATTCATTAGGTTTATGAGGATGTTATGCTGGAGCAGTGGATGAGTGCATTGATGGAAAACTATAGAGAAAAATGAAGGCAATAGGAATGGACATCTTTGTCTTCTTATGTAGTAATTTCTTCAATTCTACAATAAGGACCCAGAAATTCCTTTTCTGGCTGCCATTACATCTTTTGTTATTATCTTTATCAGTTTCTCCTCTGCAAATCAATTCTAATGAGTTTAATTGTCATTTCTAGCTAGTGAAGGTAGTGGAGTTCTGGTTTTGTTTTGTTTGGTTTTTATTTCGAATTTTTTGGCAACACTGGGAAATCAAACACAGAGCCAAGGTAACCTCAGTTTCTCTATCACTGAGCACCATGTCTGGATTTTTCTGTTTATGTGGTGCTGAGAATCAAACCCAGGGCCCCCTGCATGCAAGGCAAGCACTCTACCTCTGAGCCACCTTCCCAGTCCTGACTGTATTCTTTTGAACAGTTCCATCTTGCATTTCTGTTGATGTATGTCTTCACTTCCACTTGCTCTGCAGGCCATGGAAAAGTGTAAGGATGCAGGGTTGGCCAAATCCATTGGAGTGTCCAACTTCAATCACAGGCAGCTGGAGCAAATCCTGAACAAGCCAGGACTCAAGCACAAACCTGTCTGCAATCAGGTGAGCTGTCTTAGCCTCTTCTTCTCCTTTTATTTCATTTTCATATTTCTTTATTAGTATAAGTTTTTTTTTAAATTTTTGACTTTTCAGTTGATCTCATTTGATTGGAAGGAAAGATTCTAACACCAATGTCTTTGTCTCAGAGAATATAGAAGTCTCTCAATGGTGTCTCTGACTATTAAGTCTTTGTTTAAATGAGAGCACACATTAGTGTCTAGTGGATGCAGAATCTGGGCATATATCTAGAATGTGGCATTTGTTAAGTACAATGGAATTTGGAAGAATGGTAAAATATGGGACTACAATATTGGATTACAGTGAATGGGATAAGTCTAAGATTGTCTGAGAAGATTGGGCTGATTGTAAAGATACAGTGAACTAATGATAGACATTGGAAAGGGCTTGTGTGAACTTTCATTGCTTCTGTCCTCATCTTGGCTTACATAGATATTGGTACACCTACATTGAAAAGAAAGTGAAACCTGGGAAGGCTGTCCATGTTATACTGCACATGCCACCTGTTTAAAGTGACATTAAAGGTAGAAGAAATGCATTCTGAGGAACTTACAGCAGAGCACAGAACTGACTCAATGTCTGAAAAGCATTTAGCATCTGTTTGCTTTCTGACCTCAGATTTTTCAAGAATAGGTCTTCTTTGTCTGGTTCCATAGGTAATTTTCTTTTTGAATCTTTCTACTCATAAGTGAGCATCTTTGATTTAAAAATAAAAATATCCCTTAAGTCTTTATATACTTATCGATCCACTATGGATTTCCAAAAATATTAGAATGTTAATGTAGGTATAATATTAGACTTCCCTAATATTTGGCACTAAATATATCTAACATTTAGAATAACTGATAGCTTGATACAAAATATTCATGTTCTCAGTCCTGTATCAAAATTAATATGCTGGTGAGTCTACAACCAAATCAGTAATATTTTGCTGAATCTCTTTGGAGCAAATAGTAGACATAATTCTTCCATATGGGGGGTCTTCTTGTATATATGTACTAGAAATAAAGAGTTCCCTCACATAATCTTCCAAGATTCTACCCCAAGATATTAATGGGAATTTCATCTCAACATCTAAATCCAGTATGTATTGAAATTTCCCACAGTTCTACTGAGAATTCTACTGAGCTGTTGTTTTGGTCCTCAGACTTGTTATTGTGAATCACTCACCAAATTCAAATTTCTTGCATGTGTTTTAGAGGCATTTCTTTTTGGTTTGTTTCCTGACTAGAATATATCTTTGAAATGATAAGAAATTACCTTGTTATAAAGAGGTAATTATGTTTAGTATTGATAATGTGGTCCTCAAGAAAATTACTTTAAAAAGCATACTCTGGTAATAGAGATAAAAAATTGATTCTTATAACAAGAAATTCAATTTATCTTGGTCATTTTAACTGAGATTTAATGTTCCGTGTGTTCTCATTGTTCAGTTTTGTTTAATTTTTTTTAACATTTCTCCTTTATGTCAACACTGGGATCAGACGTAATGTGATAGCATTGTGTCTTATTCGTTTGTAGGTAGAGTGCCATCCATATCTCAACCAGGGAAAGCTGCTGGATTTCTGCAAGTCAAAGGATATTGTTCTGGTGGCCTATGGTGCTCTGGGAACTCAAAGATACAAACGATGGTAATAAATCCAACAGAGAGTTTGCTTAGAATGTTACTGTAGAAGAGGTATCTTTAGTCCCATAGGCCTACTTTCCTGTTATATGGGTTGTGGGGCTTTAACTCAGGGTCTGGGTGCTGTTACAGCTTCACTTCTGGTTTTCTGGTGCTTAATTGGAAATAACAGTCTCATGGGAGCTGGGGCTGGGAAGGTGGCTCAAATGGTAGAGCACTAGCCTTGAGCTGAAGAGCTGAGGGACAGTTCCCAGGTCCAGAGTTCAGGCCCCACGACAGGATCCCCCCCCCCAGCCTCTCAAAAAAAAAAAAGAGTCTCATGGGCTTTCCTGCCTAGATTGGCTTCCAACCAAGACCTTCAGATCTTAGCCTCCTGAGTAGCTAGGATTACAGGCCTGCGCCACCAAAGCCCAGCTTAGTCTCAGCTCTTTAAAGTACATTCTGAACTGGCTCAGGGAAAAATTTGTATTTAAATGTACTCCTTTTGCTAAGCTAGTACTTCTGGTCTAAAATGGGCACTCAAATGCATTCTGGAAATCTCCTAACAAAACTGAGTACTCAGCCTCTGGAGTTCAGCACTTCTGTCTCTCCTTCCAGGGTGGACCAGAGCTCCCCAGTACTCTTGAATGATCCAGTTCTGGGTGCCTTGGCAAAAAAGTACAATAGAAGTGCAGCTCTGATTGCTATTCGCTACCAGGTGCAAAGAGGGGTTGTGACCCTGGCTCAGAGTTTCAAAGAACAGGAGATGAAAGAGAATTTGCAGGTAATAAGGGTGTTGTTGCCATCAGGGCTCCTGTTCACTGTTGATTCCTCTTCACATGAATCCTCTGAACACATTTCTGGATCAAATGGTTGTTTGTGGTATTTCTTAGGCCCGTGAGATTCCCAGTGCTCTTGAAAATTTTTTCTTCTAATTTACAGTAGAAAAGAGAATAGCCATAATGAATTAGGATTGGGAAGATCAATGAGAATTTTGTTTTAGAATTAATTCATCCATGCACAGTATATCCCTGTGCCATTGACATCATCGTTTCTTCATTGAGGGCAGTGAAGTTTTTTAATTTAAGTTTTATTTTAAAGGTGATGTCCAAAGGGGTTACAGTTACATGTCAGGTAATGAGTACATTTCTTTTTGAACAATGTTACTTCCTCCCTCATTTTCTCCCACTTTTCCCACTCCTGAACCCTCTGCCTCCAAATTGTATACTTCATTTCCAATATTGGGTAAAGAAATATAACTACTGAATTGGGTCATCCCACATTTTTGTGATTCCTCTTTCCCTCCCCAAGTAAGATAAACTTATATACAACACAAAGGATACAGAAATGAAAAACAGTGACTACTGGGAAGAAACCAAAGGAAAAGGGGAAAGAAAAACATAACTGCACATAATGCTGTAAAATATCTCTTGTTTCCACTTCTTGGAGCCTATTTGGATATGCATTATTTCACATGGTCCTATGCATGTAACTGTTGAACCATCATGATCTTCTCATAAGAATATCCTCCTTTGTTTTCACTGTGCAAATGTTTGGAGTGCTATTTTATTCATCATGTCCAAGTGTAATTATTTGTCTTCTACTATCCTTTGGATTTGCTTGGAGATTTAAATACATATCCTAGTTATTACAAATGAGGGAAACCATGTAATCTGTGTTTCTTTGGGTCTGGCTTACTTCTCTTAATATATTTTTTCTAAAGTCTTTTCATTTCCTTACGAATGGGGCAATGTCATTCTTTCTGATGGAAGCATAGAATTCCATTGTGTAGGTATTCGATATTTTGTTGATCATTTCATCCACTGAGGGGCATCTGAGTTGCTTCCATATCTTAGCTATGGGTAAGTAGTACTGCAGTGAACATGGTTGTGCTTATGGCTTTACTGTGGTCAGGTTTGTTGTCATTTGGGTAAATTAAGTCCATGATTTTTATCTGCAAGGTATCCTGGTTCTGTTTTGCATTTCCTTGTATATCAATACTTTAACTTCCTTACCTTAAGTTTCTTTTCTGGTTAGTTAAATTCTTTCCTGTTTTTCCATTGATTTAGGTTGATAGCCCTTTCCTTTCCCAGTAGATCACTTCTGTTATACTATTACTATACTAGTTATAAAACAAACCATCCCTACTAGAGTGTTTATTTAGTTCAAGATCCTATTGTTAAGCAGGTCACCAGTGTCTCGCACCTGTAATCCTAGCTACTCAGGAGGCTGAGATCTGAGGACCTGGGTTCAAAGCCAATCTGGGCAGGAAAGTCTGTAATACGCTTATCTCCAATTTGTCACCAGCAAAATGAGAGTAGTGCTGTAGCTCAAAGTGGTCAAGCACTAGCTTTGAGGGAAAAAGATCAGGGAGAGCACCAGGGACTTAGTTCAGCCCCTGGGGTGAAAAAAAAGCAAAAATAAAAGGTCATATCATTTTGAATCTTGCCCTTAGTTCAGCCTAAGTTCCGTAAAGGTTTTTCTATCTAGGCTAAGTTTGCAGAAATGTCAAGAACTGTCACATATTTTCAGGAAAATCAAACTATTCTGTCTTGTGATAGTGATTGGGCTGGTTTCTGGTCTCCTCAGCCCTCTATTAACTTCTTCCAACTAGTGCAGGGTTTACATCTTCACATAGTCATATTCCAAGGCAATGTGTATCTGCTTACATGCCTTCAAGGGCCAGGCTCAGAAATGATACATCAGGGCTGGGAAGGTGGCTCAGTGGTAGAGTGCTTGCCTTGCATGCATGAGGGCCTGGGTTCAATTCCTCAGCACCACATAAGTAAAAAAGAAAAAAAGCCGGAAGTGGCGCTGTGGCTCAAGTGGTAGAGTGTTAGCCTTGAGCTGAAGAGCTGAGGGACAGCGCCCAAGCCCAGAGTTCAGGCACCACGACAGGACCCAAAAAAAAAATGATACATCATTGGTTTTGCAACATGCTAGTGAGTCAAGAACTGTCACATATTTTCAGGAAAATCAAACTATTTTGTCTTGTGATAGTGATTGGGCCAGTTTCTGGACTCCTCAGCCCTCTATCAGTGCAGGGTTCACATCTTCACATAGTCATATACCAAGGCAATGTGTATCTACTTACATGCCTTCAATGGCCAGGCTCAGAAATGATACATCATTGGTTTTGGAAAATGCTAGTGAGCTACACAGTAGGCAGATTCAAGTGATGCAAAAGTAAAAACATCTCCTACTGGAAGAAGTTGGAAATCTATGCAACAAAGGGTATGAAAACTGGGAAGTATAATTATAGGAAGGCATTTTAATAATTTGCATTCATATATTCTCAATAGGAGCTATTTTTCAAGTCTTGATGTATCAGAATATCTCCTCCTGTCTGTATGCTTGCTTTGGTGTGTTCTCTGTACAAAAGTTTCTTCTGGAATTGTAGCATCCATCCCTTTGCTCTGTCTCTGGTTAGTGTTAGGTCTTTTGTACTTTGGAAACATAATAATATCCTACTTCATTGTGTTACATTTCTCTAATTCAATTGTAGCATTTTTAAACAACTTGAAATAAAGATCTATGTATATATACATAATTTTAAAATGGTAATCAAATGTTCTCAGTGAGAGTAATGACATTTATGGCTTCTTTCCTACCTTTGAATGTTTCATTTTCTCTCCCTTATTGGCTTATCAGTGCTAGAACCTCAGTCCTGCTGTTCCATATGGAAAAATATTTCCTTTGTGTTATTGAAGAGTGTCTTAGGTATCTTTGACAGATTATTCTGTTACACTTAGAATAACTTTGCTAAAGTCTTCCCAGAATAAGTCCATTTTGCTCTAATATCTAAGTTTTAGAAAAAATTCTGAAATATTATCTAATTTCATTTCAGAGATTATTTTTCTGGTCTCTGCTTCTGTCCATGTCCTCTTTCTTTTGCTCAATCTCTCTCTCACACACATACATGCATAATACATTCTTATGTATACACACATACACCACATTATGTAGCAACTCTTAAAATTTGTTTTGTTCTTTAAGTGTTCCAAATTTATTCAGCTCCTTTTTCCTTTTAAAATGATATAATTAGCATTTGGAGAATGCCTGATTTCAATTATGTTGAAAAGATTCTTCATTTAACTGTTCATTGATTAATATGGAAATCCAACTATCCATTAAAATATTTGAATTGTGTTGTTTCAAAACTTGCTGTTGATTCTACAGTAACTTCTATATCTGTGAAACTAAAATCTTTTTATAACATCAGTAGTGTTTCTGGGTCAGCTACTTTTCAGGCCTTCATTTGTATCTTGTATCTTTGTATAGTATCTTGTTTTTCAATATAACTATGCTTTCAAGAAATTTGTCCCATGTTTTAAATGCTGGCTTTTAAATCTGATTTACTTGGATAGTCAATGTACCATATAAATATTTAAATTTTTTTCTCCTTGTGTGATAGGTTTTTGGATTCCAGTTATCTTTAGAAGACATGAAAATGATAGATGGCCTGAATAGAAATTTCAGATATCTTCCCGCTGAGTTGTAAGTAACTTTATTATTTTATATTAAGCTTCAACTTATTTTAGTATCAAATCTCATCCTTCCTTATTAGAAGTCAAATGTTGCAGTTGCTTCACCAGTGGTTCCAGTGTGGGAGTTAATGGAACATTTGTTTTTGAGTTTCGGAACAAGAAATATCTCAGTGTAGAAGATAATGAAATTCATGAAAAAACTGAAATGAAAGAAAGTGAATGCTGTTTCCCTCATTGGAGGAAACTTATAGTCATCAAAAATGTCTTCCAAGCTGGGCGCCAGTGGCTCACACCTGTAATCCTAGCTTCTCAAGAGGCTGAGCTCTGAGGATCATGGTTCAAAGCCAGCCCGGGGATGAAAAGTCCATGAGACTCTTATCTCCAATAAACCACTAGAAAACTGGAGTGGCACTGTGGATCAAATGGTAGAGTATTGCCTTGAGCTGAAGAGCTGAGGGACAGAGCCCAGGCCCAGAGTTCAGGCCCCACAACTGACAAAAAAAGAAAAAGAAAAAAGAAAAGTCTTCCAAACTAGGCTCTGGTGGCTCAGGCTTGTAATCCTAGCTACTCAGGAGGCTGAGATCTGAGGATCATGGTTCAAAGCTAGCCCACGCAGAAAAGTCCCCATGAGACTCTTATCCCAAACTAACCATTCAAAAACTGAAAGTGACCCTGTGGCGCACAGTGGTTAAGTGCTAACATTGAGAAAAAGAGCTCAGGAAAAGTGCCTAATTCCTGAGTTCAAACCACATGACCAACAAAAAAAATGTGTTCCTTCATGGTCTATGTGAAGACTGTGAAAATGGGCATATATCCTAAATGAATTCAAACTCAGGGTATATATCTCTTTGGTTGTGAATAATCTTAATTCATAATATGGGTAAATGTAATCCTATTTGACAGGGAAATAGCAAATCTACAATAGCATTACTTACTATCACTGATAATATTTTTATTAATATAGAGAAAGATGAAGAGTAGGTAGGGATATAATACCATGAGATAAAAAAATTCATACTCTGTGTTAAATACAATAAAAAAATTCATACTGTCTGTTAAATAGGTCAATAGCTAAAGTTTCTTTATCACTTTGTATTTTGTATTGGTAAATATAGAGCGCTACCCATTCTATCTTGCCATGGACCACTCTCTTATAAATGACTCCTTTCCATGTCTGAATCTAATACAATATGTTATACATTGGTAATGGATACTAAATAATATAATGAAATAGTACATGTATTTACTGATATTCATAAATTAATTAGTAAAATTAATTTATAGCCCTAAACAATAAGATTTAAATTATTTTTGTGTTGGTTAGTATGTGAAGTTGTCTCTGTACTTAGCTTGACATAAGTGATTTCTTTTCCCTTTGAGAAACTGAAATAAAAAGGGCCATTTTCCTTTGGTCAATGGACACATAGAACAAAGGGAGAAGTATGTATCCATGCTCATTCTCATGCTTCCCATGTGTTCTGTTCTGGTCAAGGGAATATAGTTGGGAAATAGTTCTTATATTTAAAAACTGCTTGCTGTAAAATTACTTTCATGACAGTTAGAATGCCAAATTTTTAGCCTCTTCAGAAAATGTAAGGACTAGATTTTAACTGAATGGTAATTTTGTAGATATAACATATGAACTTCTATGAAAACGGATCCTAGAGCTTATGGTATGCATTCTTTGTCTTTGTAGCCTTCTTGGTCACCTTAATTATCCATTTTCTGATGAATACTGAAAAGGAGGTCTGTGTGATGTCTTCTGCCTGAAGCTCCTGAGTGCTTCCTGGGAGGCCTTGTGGCTCTGCCCTTGAGATATATCTGTTCCACTCCACTGCTGCTGCTCAGCGGTTACACTCAGCTAAAGCTGAGTCCTGTCCCCTCCTCTCATCCATTCAGTCCCCTCCTTCCCCTCCCCCACCGCCTAGAAGAGAAGGATTTCCCATTTCATCACTTGTTTAAATAAAATTAAAGTGGTTTCCTTGAAGATCTGTCTCACCCCTGTCACTATGACTTGCATGTTGTGTTTCCTATTACCTCATTGTGAACAAAGACCAGCAGCTAGAAGTTTGAAGGTTGAGACTAGAAGACTATAATACTGATAGCTTGTTTTGTTTCAGACTAAGTAATGAGATATAGCCCCTTTGGCCTTGAGCATGTGATCTCCCTGCCTCCGATGAGTGCCAGGATTATAGGCATGCATCATTACACTTGGCTATTAATATCCACATTGTGAACATTTAGGGAGGTGAGGATGGTCTTGTTTTCAGATTTCAGGAAAATAATGGTTAGCAGGAAATTAACAGTCAATGTTCCTTCAGTGCATGACATTTAGTTGAAGGTTCTTAGTGTTGAAGGAGAGTTACAGTGCAAGGATGATCACTGGTCTCAGGGCATCTCCATATCGAAGCACCTAGAAACTGGAGAGTGAAGTATTCCTGTGCAGGTTTGAACTCTGGTGATGTGAGTGAGTCATCAGCAGTGATCAAGAGCAGGATTGAGATGAGATGCTAAGTCAGCAGGAGGGAGTTGTACACATCCCTCCTTGGGAAAGCTACTACACCAAATGGTTTCTACATCATTCCATCCTGAAGACAGTAGAGAGCTTTTCACATTTTTCATCAAATATAGGCTGAGCTGAATGCTGGTGGCTCACACTTAGAATCTTAACAACTCAAGAGCTTGAGATCTGAGAATCAAGATTTGAAACCAGTCCTGGAGACTCTCATCTCTAATTAACCAGCAAAAAGCTGGAAGTGGAGACATGGACCAAGATATAAACCATCTGTTTTGAGCAAAAGAAAACGAAGTGGGTATAGGAGGACCTGAATTAAAGCCCTAGTGCTAGCACACACATGCGCATGTGTACACACACACATACACACACACACACACACACACAAACACAAACACACAGGAGATTAGAAGTCATGCATAGCTCTACTTGTAAGAAAAAAAATTAGAAATAGTTTGCCTTGCTTTGGAGTGTTTGGAAAGATTTATGACAATTAGGATGTACTTACAAAATGGAGTCTACAGAACTGCATAAACTTAGCATGTTAGTTGGAGATGATATCAACAAAATGTTGGAAGGAGAAGGTCCAAGCTCTCCCAAAGAAACATCAAAAATCTACTGTCACTGACTAGTTAACAGTAATACAGTTACTGGTAAATGGAGAATTATGTGTAGAAACAGTACAAATATCCAGTGGAAAAGAGTAAGACTCAACATGTTAGGGAATTTCACTGTTTTGATCCACCATGGCCCAAAGCTACTACCACAGTGTGGTACTGTTCTGTAGCTAGCAGCAGCAACCACTTTCTTTTTTCTTTTCTTTTTTTTTTTTTTTGTTGGTTGTGGGGCTTGAACTCTGGGCCTGGGTGCTGTCCCTCAGCTCTTCAGCTCAAGGTGAGTGCTTTACCACTTGAGCCACAGTACCAATTCTGGTTTTCTGAGTGATTTATTGGAGATAGGAGTCTCAGGAACTTTCCTGCCTGGGCTGGCTTTGAACAGGGATCCTCAGATCTCAGCCTCCTGAGTAGCTAGGATTACAGGCATGAGCCAGTGGCGCCTAGCCAATTCATTTTTCAATGCAGAATAGTTGTACTCAGGTACTCTGGTCTCACGTTTGTTGTACCACTTCAACCATATCTCTCTCTGGGCTTTTTCTTCCTTATACGTAGAAAGAATCTCCTGGACTGTAATGCCCCGGTTTGTTTTGAACCTTGTTCCTCTGATATCAGTCTCCTGAGTAGCTAGGTTTATAGGACGGAACAATCATACTCAGGCATGACTAAAATGAATTCTAGTATTTTGTAGAGTTCATGGGGTAAGTAATTCACTCCAATGCTTAGCTTTGCAAACAAGGTTGGTTATTGACTCAAGCTCACTTTCTATAAATGTATTGACATAAATAGCAGTATTGAACCAACTTGTAAAAGGTGATTAAAAAAAATGAACTGGCTTGTCCTAAATTTTCAGTGCAGTTGATCAGCTGTCCTTGTCTGGCTTATTCATTGTATCCTCTCAGTGAGTTATTGGCTGAATGAAATTTGAACATATAAAACCTCTTTAGAATTCATCACTATAGGCCATGAGGAACTTTTGATGATAACCTCCTGTGTCATAAAGATGCTTATTTACTGCTGAAATATTTTATATCTACTGTTATCTGATGCTGTCACTTACTTGGTGATTTTAATTGAGTTTCAAGTTTTTCTTAAACACCAAGACTCTGGAGAGGCAAAAGAGATTATTACTGAAGACTGTTTGGATAATGTATTGCATTTGAGTTGTCTTGTGAGTGAAGCAAAGGCTCCTTAGCCATGGCTAAGTGTTCAAATGAAGTCCTGGGTACATTGTATCCAAGATGAAAGTTCTACATTGTAGAACACTAGAGGTAAAGTTTAATGATGGGACTAAATCCTAATACAGAAAACAGTAAGTTCTCTGCTGAAAATAGACAGTGTCAATGATCAGAATCATAACCCAGGTAAAGTTAGAAATATCAAAGTCCAAATTTAGGTTTCACAGGATGGAAGAAGCCAAGTTAACTAATGAGTGAGAATAACAAGACAGATTGATATCAAATGAGGTTTGTGGTACTGAAGAAACACAGTTCAAGATTGAAGGGTTTTTTAAAAAATTTGTCTTATATTTTATTTTGTAATAAATTTCCAACTTAAACCTTGAATCCCCACATCTTACCCTGTGATAAAAATCAGCTATCTTCCAGGCACCTTTTCTGAGATCTGAGGATTGCAGTCTGAAGCCAGCCAGGGCAGAAAAGTCCCCATGTGACTCTTATCTCCAATTAACCACTGAAAAACCAGAAGTGGCAATGTGGCTCAAGTGGTAGAGTGCTAGCCTTGAGCACAAAGAGGCTCAGGGACAGTGACTAGGTCCCGAGTTCAAGCCCCACAACCTACAAAATAAAATCAGATAGCTATGTACTCATTTCTGCCTTGTTTCATTTTTTTAAATTGTACTGCACTCAAACAAAACTGTGGTCAGATTCAGGCTCTTCCATTTAATAGGGAGATTAATAGTCACAAACTCTTAGCATTGATTTGAACAACAGAGGGTAATTGTTGAGAATTTACCCTTAGTGTTTATTAATATTTGGTAAATATGGTAAGTATCCTTTGCTGTCTTCACATTAAGAAATTCTTATTAATTGGTACTTAGTGATCAAGACAAATTTTGAATGTTTGAATTCTACCAGAAATTTCCATTCTGTTCCAATGGTCAAGGGGAGAGATTTGTCTTTTTCAAAATGAATATTTTCCAGATTATAAAACTAAAACTTTTAATAGCATTTATTTATGGATGTCTAAAAGCAGATAGACAACTTTGTAATCAATCATCCAAAATCTAAATTTAGGAAAATGTCTACTTACCATTGAAATCTTGCCCTTTTTGTCACTCATTTAGTATAACATTATGTCAACATATATGTCAGTATTTTGACTCTTTTCACTGCATAAACAGCCCTTAGTTGTATTTTAATTTATTTATTAATATAAAAATCACATCATTCTTTTCTGGAATTGTTTACTTAGCACTTTTAGTTGGTTCTCTTCATAAATGATGTGGACAGTTCTAATCAGTTTTAAACATACATTTGCTGTTATCCAAACGAGGTGTCAGTGCTTTATATTTATGAGTTCTTCACACATAGAGTCAACCACCTAGGAATTCAAAACATTTTAAAGTAAGTAGCACTGTGGCTCAAAGTGGTAGAACACTAGCTTTGAGCTGAAGAGCTGAGGGACAGCTCCCAGGCCCAGAGTTCAAGCCTCATGACCAACAAAGACAAAAAGAGGTACAAAAATATTATAAAGCCAGGCGCTGGTGGCTCCCTGAAATCCTACCTACCCAGGAGGCTGAGATCTGAGGATCATGGTTCAAAGCCAGCCTGGGCAGGAAAGTTTGTGAGAGTCTTATTTCCAATAAACCACTCAGAAAACCAGAAGTGGCACTGTGGCTCAAGTGGTAGAGCACTGGCCTTGAGCTGAAGAGCTGAAGGACAGTGCCCAGGCCGAGTTCAAGCCCATGACTCACATATATATATTTATATGTATATAGGTGTGTATGTATATATATATATATATGTGTGTGTATGTGTATATGTATATATGCATGTAGTAGCAATCATCCATATGTTTAATTTTGTATGTGGATGTTTAACCTTTCTTGGATGGTTGGTAGAAACTCCCATGTCACTCCTGGTTTGCCCCCAAACAACTGAAGACTTTAGATAATCCCAAGCTAGAGGCTGAAACTATGGGAGTTTTGCAGGTTAACTCATAAAGTAAATTGGTAATCCTAAAGCCATCTAGCACCTTCATGTGTCCACAGTTTGCTTTTCTGACTGTGCCTCATGACCAACTCTGGCACATCCCTGCGTAGCTGTACATGGTGGTGTGTCTTCTTCAAAGGGGAGAGGGTGGACAAATGGAGAGAGGAAGGGTGGGAGAATACAATCATAATAATCCATGTGTGCATGTGAAATGGCCCAGGTGACAGGTGTGGCTGGGTGAGGTGGGGAGAGATGGGGAGGATGCCAGGAGATGTGACTTTGATCTTAAAGTGGCAGAGTACAATTACTTAAAGATAAGAAAAATAAGTTTTGCAAACCTGTTCTTCATTCTCACTGGAGTCTTTCCCTGGACTGTTGTGGGCGGTCGGATTTGGTTTGTCTTGGCTGCTCATGAACATGGTAATCTTGGGTTGTGATTTAGGCATTTGGGTTCAGAGATGGTCAGGGTCCTGGCTCCAGCTTGGCCCCCAGGAGCCTGGCTGTGGGCTGCCACCTGGGTCCCCAGGCCTGCAAACCCAGGGGGCCTGTGGGAGGGAGCAGGGTCAGGTCTGCAGCAGGGACTGGGAGGTTAGATTCTGGTCTTAGAGATGAACATGCAGGGGGCTGCTCCTGCT